CAAACTCACAGAGATCCTCCTGTCTCTGCCTCCCAAGTGTTGGGGTTAAAGGAACCACCACATCAGGGTAGTCTCAATTTTTAAGGAAATTCACTTTAAGAATATCGTGCAGTGTCGTCAGCTACCTTTTAAATCAATTTAGGTTTTATAGGTATCTTGATAAGTTATTTATGGCTTTAGGAGTCAGGGGCTGGGGCTGGAGAGATGGCTCAGCAGGTAAGAGCGCTGGCTGCTGGAGGATCCTGGTTTCCTGCGCTTAAAACAATCTCTAACTCCAGGTCTGGGGATCTGCTGCCCTCTGCTGGAGTCTTCAGGCACTTCATGCATATGGGTGCTCATACACACATACAAGCAAACACATACACAAAACTAAACAAATCATTTTTAAAAAATGAGGTCAAAGAGTAGAGACAAACGATCAACCCACTTGTGAGGTGTCCTCCCTAGGGTGTCCTCACCTGCAGCTCAGGAGCCTGCTTCAGAATTTTCACATCTTCGATGAGGTCTTGGAGCACACTCGTGGACTGCAAGGTAGAGTAGGAACTGTGTGAAGCCAGACCTGGTACCCCTAGTTTTGGGGGTAGCTTAGGGCCTGAAGGGTAGCCTGGGGGAGCAGAGGCTTTGTAGGGTCAGTGTACCCACCTTGGTCGGGGTGAGAGCCTTTGAGGACTTTAGCTGTACCATCTGGGTGGGCATCTCGACCGTGGGCTCATGTTTCTCCAGAATATCCTCAGATTCATAGATCTTGGAGAACTTTGTTAGGGATACCTGCTTGGCCATCAGAGTTATCGCCTCTTCTGACTGGTCAGTGGGTGTGGAGATGTGATCTATTTGTGTGGCCATGCCCTGCATTTTGTTGTCCATAGTTTTAAGCTGTTTGGTGAGGTCCAATACCTGGTTACCCAAGTCCTTCACCTGATTTTCCAGCTCTTGCGGAGTCTGCGACAGCCTAGGCAGACTCCGGCGCTTCTCTTTGCTGGTTGACACATGTGGGGCACTGGAGGTGCCGTGGACCAACTCAGCAGCACGGCCAGATTCAGAGGATGGGTAGTGGAAGTCGATAAGTACCTCTTGGAGGTTGAGGCTCTTGAGAATGGCCACTATCAGTGTATGCAAGGCCGTAAAGTTCACCGCGCCCACCTCTGGAGTGCCAATTGCCAGGTCAGCCAGGTCCCGGAGGGAGACCCTGTTGGCCATCAATGAGGGCGGCATCGTGTGCCCTGTTGGGAGGCGCAGAACCAGGGAAGAAGAGAGAGGATACCAAGTGCCTCCTCCCTCCCAGCAGGCTTATGGGGACAGCACGGGTCTCAGCAGGAGGCCTTGCTTGTGGGTTTGTGGCTTCCAAGCTGGAGCCCTGGGCTCCGCTCTCCTGGCTTGCCCGGCTCTCGGCCGGTGGACGTTTGGAACGAGGGCGCACGGTTTGCGGCAGGGTTGCTGAGGCGCGGGACTCCAGAGATTCTAAGAACATGCGCTTGGTTGGGCCAGCCCTTATTGGGACTAAAAAAACCTACAGGGGAGGCTTTGACCACACCTCAAGGTGCCACCAGTTTTTCAGTAATGCGCTTAATGAAAGGGATGATTAGGCCGGTCAGAGCGTTTGCACTATGAACAGGTCAGTTGGGAGGAGAAGCTGCGGTGGCTCCTGTGGGTCCACGCCCCCTCCAACTCCTCAACACAGAAAGCCAGCTCCACTAGTTTTGTAGGCCACCGGAGACAAAATGATTCACGGGGTGTCACGGCGACCTGCATTTAGGCAGGCAAGTCTAAGGGATGGGGTGCCTGCGGCCAGTGGGGGTGGTTGGCGGAGTGGACCCCCACTAGTGCCTCTTAGAGGCAGTTTCCACATAATGTTGTTTACTCAAGAGGTGGGGAAGGCTTCCCTGACCTCATGTTGCTCAATTCAGGACTCCGGAGCTCTCAGCAGGTGATATATTTTTGAATAAAACACTAAAAGTTAAAATAAATGTTTAAATTAAATTAAATTAAATTAAAAGTTAAAATAAATGTTTAATAAAACATTAAAAGGATCCTATCATGAGTAATAGAGTTAAGAGTTGTAGTTTAGTCTGAATGGGCACAGGGGTTTTGTTTTTAATTTTTATTTATGTAAGACTGTAGCTGTCTTCAGACACACCAGAAGAGGGCATCAGATTCCGTTACAGATGGTTGTGAGCCACCATGTGGTTGCTGGGAGTTAAACTCAGGACTTCTGGAAGAGCAGTCAGTGCTCTTAACTGCTGAACCATCTTTCCAGCCCAATGGGCACAGTTTTTAAAGGGAATTTCCACCATTGTATTTCTATTACCTGGCAACAGCATGCCAAAAGGCCAACTTCCTAATCCTCTGGGCATTTGTTCCCTGACCTTAGAACAGCAGTTCTCAATCTGTAGGTTGTGACCCCTTTGGGGTCACATATCAGATATCTATCAGATATTTACAATGATTCATAATAGTAAAATTAGTCATGAAGTATCAGCAAAGTAAATTTATGGTTGGTTGGGGGTCATCACATAAGGGTCACAGTTAGAAAGTTGAGAATCACTGTCTTAGAACTTAAAGCTAGGCTGCAGGTAAGCCTCGGGTTCAAGCATTGGGCATACACAGCCAGACCAGTAAGCGTATTTTATTATTAACTTATTACTATTTTTTTTAAAAGAGGTTTCTCTGTGTAGCCCTGGCTGTCCTGGAACTCACTCTGTAGACCAGGCTGGTGGCACTGAACTCAGAGATCTACTTGGCTTTATCTTTGTTTTTTGTGTTGTGTCTGAAATGCGTGTATATATGTGGATGCATAGGTGTGCACACAGGACCCAGAGGGACCTGGATCTGCTAGAAGTAGATACAGATTACTACCATACAGGTGCTGGGAACCAAATCCTTCCTTCCTGACAGCTGAGTCACCTCCAGCTCCCTTCAAGTGCGATCTTTACAGGATGTTAGCAGCCAGCCGCTTCAGGGCTGCATTTTTTCACACCCCTGAGGCTTTGACTTTTTGATGATGCTGAGTATCAGATCTGAGGGCTAGCACCAGCCTACAACCTCAGTTATCCTGGTCAAGAGTGTCAAGAACCTCACAAGTCAACAGGTGGGTGGGGTGGGTGGCATTTTTTAAGTCAAGAACTATCTGTACTACTAGTGCTACACACATTTTTAAAATCCTATTTAAAAAAAATACACCCTATTATTAAAAAAAATTCTTTTTTTTTTGTTTTTGTTGTTTTTCGAGACAGGGTTTCTCTGTGTAGCCCTGGCTGTCCTGGAACTCACTCTGTAGACCAGGCTGGCCTCGGACTCAGAAATCCGCCTGCCTCTGCCTCCCAAGTGCTGGGATTTGCCTGGCTCTTCTTTTCTTTCTTTTTTTAAAGATATATGTAACACTGTAGCTGTCTTCAGACACACCAGAAGAGGGCATCAGAACCCATTACAGATGGCTGTGAGCCGCCATGTGGTTGCTGAGAATTGAACTCAGGACCTCTGGAAGAACAGTCAGTGCTCTTAACCATTGAGCCATCTCCCCAGCCCTAAAATCCATATTTTTAAAACCGGGGGAAAGGAAAATATTAGCTAAAAAATGTCATGTTTAGACTTCAGAAGAACCTGTATTTCATGTCTAACTTTGTACCTGTGGATCAAACGTCAGTCTCATCTGGAATCACTAGCTTAAGACAGGGTCTCATAGAATCTGCAGTATCAAACAGGCAAGGCTAGGTGTCTGTTAGGAGTTCCAGCCTGTCTGCCCTTCCCAGTGCTAGAATTCCCAGTGTGTGCACCCATGCCAGCGATGGAATTCAGTTGTGCTTCTGTGCTAGGTACTTTACTGAGGTAACTCTCCAGTGCACAACTGTAGACGGACCTAGACAGGACTAGTTATCTACTTTGATTGTTAAGAACAGACTGCAAGGCTCATGCCTTTAATTCAGCACTCGAGAGTCAGAGGCAAGCGGACCTGAGTTGCAGGGCAGCCTGGTCTACAGAGTGGGTTCCAGGACAGCCAGGGCTAGTGATACCCAGGTCTTGGAAAAAAAACAAAACAAAACAAAACAAAACCCACACCAAGTCTCTTGAAATTGGGGAGATGGTGCGGAGGGTAAAAAGCACTTGTGGTGCAAGCAGGAGAAGCCTGGAAACCCATACTAAAGGCCAGGTGTGGCTACACATGCCTGAAACTCCAGCACTGGGGGCCCACAGGCCAGTCAGCCAGCCTAGCCAAAATGGCAAGCATCCGGTTGGAGAACAAAGCACACTGACAAGCACAGCCTCCACCCCTCCCACTCTCCTTCTGTGTGTGATGTGCTTCTCTTCTGCCCACTAGGTTACAGCTTTTTCTCTACCTCCAGGCTAATTATCTTAATGACTGAGTCCTTTGCTCAGTTTTCCCTATGTGGCCCATTAACAGAAGGCAACTTCTTTGTGTGCTTGAAAAGGCCAATGTGCACAAAGTCCTAATTGTGGGCTGGGAACCTTCTTCATCATTAAGGGATAAAAGAGTGGAGGAAACTTCCCTGTAGTGAAATACAATTATACAAAAAAAAAAAAAAAAGACTCCTTCCTGTTGGGCAGAGCTCATTAGCAAGTCCACTTCCTTTCCGGAGAAGGCCCTCCTCTGAAACCTGGCTCCGAACTGGAGCAGGCTCAAAGAGCCAAGGAGCTCTGCTGTGTCTGTAGAGGGCCTCTGACAGTCTCCTCAGCAATGCGACTAGCCACACCGCAGCTCACAAGTAGTGCCCCTCTTGAGGGGCTGGAGATGAGGCTCGGTGGTGGACCATTAACCCAGTGTGCAGGAGGCCCTAGGTTCAATCTCCAGAACTGCCCCAAATCCCACAAACCACACACAGATGTGCCCTCAGTGCTCAGGAAGGGAAGGGAGCCCGTGGGAAACACATCTGTGGTCCACTGCAGCCCTGGATCCTGACCCCTGACTTGAACGCTGTTTCTTGCGTAGTACTGACAGGCTTTGTCGGGGTCTAGGAGGGAGCCAGGAGCCTAAGTGGACTGAAGACACGAGGGAGACAAGAAACTTTTATTCGCAGCTTCCAAGTGACACAGTTCTGAGGGACAGGGTGCTACTCTCTCATCTGACTAGCTCAGTGAGGGTGGGCAGGGACACTCCGCTGTTCAATGGCAGCAGGCACAGCAGTTTCTGAAAGAAAAGTGATTCTCTATATGACAGACTTAGTTGACCTTGTCCAGGGAGAGGACACTGCATACGTCAGTGCCAGGGCCACTCAGCTCCCTGACTAAGCTCAATGCTTCACCTACCTTCCCAGAGCAGACACTAGTGAACAAACTGGCATGGGAACTGCTCAGAAATAAGGAGCAAGGCTGATGACAGGGACAGGAGGGCCGTGTCACGTACTCAGTCACAGTCGGCTGCATGGTGTTAACCGTCTACAACTGGATGCCTGCTTCTTCAGCAGAACATGTTCCCGGTAGGTACTGCGTTCTGCCGATGGGGAGGAAGGGACTCAGCAGCCTGGTAGACTCCCTAACTGCAGCACACTTGCAGGCTGACACGCCGCTGTGTATGTCGTCCTCTGCAGGTCAGGGCAGCTCTGAGCTAGTCATCCACCGTGATGTTCCGGAAAAGGTACGCCATGGACTCGCCGTTATGGATTCTTCGAATCGCCTCAGAAAGAATCAAGCTGATGTCCACAGTCTTTATCTTGGGACACTGTAGCTTCTGAAGCTCATGAGGGACAGTGTTCGTCACCACCACCTAATGACGAAGCAACAGAGAGTAGATACTCAGGTGTGCCAGGAAGTGGCTGTGCAGAAGAAAAGCATATCTAACATTTAACTTAATGTCCACAACCCAAGCTCCAAAACAAAGCTTTTGCTCCAGAGGGGTCTCTGCAGTGGTGCTGGGCGGAACACTTCCCACTGGCACGGCGAGCACACCACACGGAGCTACACCCCAGCCTTGGTTTTCACTCTGAGGCAGGGTCTTGATATGTAACCTCAATGGTAACTCATCTCTCCATTGCTGGGATACAAGCATAAAATCCCATCTGCTAAAATACAGATTTTACAAGCTGAGCATGCACGGCTCAGAACGAAGTCCTGGGACTACCCAGCCCCATTTAACACCTAACTATCGTCAGGGAAGAATTCAAGTACCAAATGTAACTCTAACGTTGATATGAAGATCTGAAAGAAACCTTCATGTAAATTCCTACACACCCATCTGCCTAAGCAAGGCTGCAAGCCAGAGCAACATCAGACCGGAGTGCACCCTAGCCAGAGACGGGCGCCTTCCTGAGTCAGCGCAGCTGTGGAGCGGGGTTCAGGCTCTGTGTCCTAAGCCTTTCAAGGAGACACACCTCGTCAACGGGGGATTCCTCGATCAGCCGGGGGGCTTCAGCGGACAGGATGCCGTGCGTGGCCATGACATAGATCTTGTAAGCACCCCTCTCTTTCAGGATCTCCGCAGCCGCAACGAAGCTCTCCACATCATCAATGATGTCATCCTGCAAGCAGGGGCAGGTTTGGTCACCCTCTCCCCAGGGACACATGTCCCTGTTCCCCTCCAACATGGGTCAGCCTGTTAGAAACCATGGCCGAGAGCTGAGCACCCTGGGACTTCGAGCAATCGAGGCACTGTGTGGGAGGAGTGTCTGCAGGAGCGGTGGGGCGCTCTAGTCCAGCATGTACGACACAGCAGCTGAAGCCCTCATGATGGCTGTCAGGGTAGCTTCCCTCCCTCACACTCCTCATTCGGTCTAGAGAACCAGCATGGCACTTACTTTGTCCCAAGGGGAGCTGCTGTTGTGTCCCTCTAATCCAGTGAGAGTGACCAGCATCCCAGTGCAAAGCCAGGCTGCACTGGGACACCTGTCCCCACCCTGACACGGGAAAGGCTTGTCTTATGGTCCTGAAATGTACGGATGATCAAGGGAGCTGGTCTGAGGGGATCCAGAGCCCCTATGATGAAGGCCTTGGTGCTGACTCTTCCCATGGGAGGTCCCAGGATTTTACATTTGTAGGCTATATGTTAATCTCCTCCATTCACATATTAAGTAAATCCGCTACTCTCTTAAAGGAGATTGAGTGAGGGAAGACAGGTGGAGCCACCGAAATCCACCATCATGCTGAGACCCACACTGACTGAGCCAGCAGTGTCACCTCTGCATGAACACGACGACGCATGGCCATACCACTATAATTGCAATGCGTCCCCCGACGTCTCCGACCACTGTGATTGGTGGCTTCTCTTTGGCCATCATCACTAGCAAAACACATCACAAGACTGAGTTAGTTGAGTAACTGGATAAATGTAACCACAACCCTGTGGCAAGCTACAGTACAGACGGAACAACCTAACGCACAGGTCCCTCCTAGACTGACTCTCAAGAGTCAGAGCTGGCTGGATCCAGCTGTTCATAGAGACACAAGGCAAGACAGAAAAGTCACTTTAAATTTTCTAGTAGCTACAGTAAGGAAGAAGACGGTAGGAGTTAGAGGGAGGAGCTGCTCCCGAGGAGGACCTGCCTCCGTTCCCAGTACCTACACTGTGCTCTACAAACACCTGTAACCCCAGCTCCGGGGAGTCTATTCACTCTTCTGACCGCCAAGGGCACCAGGCACACATGTGGTGTATATACAGACATGTGACAAACATTCATGCACACAAAACTAAAAAATAAGGTCACACAAAAGGGCAAATTTGCTATTTTACTTTCCATAACATACTTAAAGACTCTACTGTCGTGCTCTGTAACGAGTCTGTAACCAGTCCGAGATGTACTGATGAGGTAGTTAAAGTTTGCACGGCAGCCGTCACAATACGCAGTCACTCTCGACACCCACCTCTTCTCTCAGCTGAGACTGGCCACATTTGAATGACTGCGATGGTCACGGCTGTCCCAGTGCAAGTGGGAAGTCATACAAGAGAGCAGGGAGGAGCCCACAACCCGAGGGAGTGCAGTCCTGTCAGTGTTGAATTGTAGACAAGCTGGTCCAATTTGAATACATATGTCTTTGTTTCGGATTAGAGTCAGGGCGATCTCTTGAGTCTGGGCAGCCTGGCATGGTAACAGATGATAATCCTAGCACTCAGAGGAGAAGGTAAGAGGACTGAAAAATCTCAGGTCAGCCTGGGTACACACCAAGGCCTTGTCTCAACAGAACTCAGCTCTAGTTTGCCTGTGTGAAGCGGTGTGAACTTGTAGCTGTGAGGGAGGACAAGTGTACTTTAGTTCAAAAGTCTGAGACCAGGTGGGCAACACACCAAGATACCATCTTAAAAAGGGGAGTGGCTGGAGAGATGGAGCGATGGCTAAGAAGGTTTGCTCAATCGTGAGTTTGGATCCAGCACCCACAGTGCACGGCTCACAAATGCCTATAACTTCAACTCCAAGGGGTCTGTCACTCTCTTTTGGCCTCTGTAGGCTCGCACGCACATAGACACACACACAGACACAGACACATACACACACAGTATCACGGTGTTGCATGCTAGGAACCCCGCCACTGGGCAGGGACGGAGGAGCAGGAGACTCCCCAGCCCAGCTCAGGCTGCAAAGCAAGACGGTCTCCAGCAGCAACAACAGAAAAGAGATGACCATCTGTCAGTAATAAGGACTTTCTAACTGAGTCAGGTGACAATGATCCATAGAGGCTAAGTCTGAAGTGAGGTGGGTATTCACGGTACACTACTGATAAAAAGAAAAAAAGTCACTTTCCTGGTAAGAAGACTGCCAGACACTATTTTTACCCAAACGCCAAAATCAGCCTCTCCAGCAATGGGACAACCATGTGCTTCCTGTGGCACGCCTGACAAATACTCAAATTTGCATCTACGCATGAGGACATAAACAAGTCGCAATTAAGGGAGAGTCTACAAAATAACCGGCTTGTGTTGCTCTGGAGCATCCCCCCGGTCATCAGAGCCGGAGCACGGAGGAGCCACTCTGGACTAAACAAGGGCACGGGCATGCCAACTGTATGCAATGTGCAGCCACAGATCAGGCCCAGGGCCAAAAACCAAAACTGACAACAAAAAGAAAAGGTTTTCCTCTTGCTCCATAGAACACTGGGGAGTGATAAGACCTGTGGATTAGGTAACGGTCCTTGGGGGAGTCCTGAGTGAGAACCCACCGTTTCATTTGCACACTCAAATACTTAGGAATAAAGAGGTTCAGACCCGCAGCCCAGGCTCAAATTACAGGAAGCACACAGCAGTGTCGGATCTGGAACCACTGTGGAGAGAGCAGGACCCATCCATACCTGTTACAGCCAAATTCAGTGTCCAGCACCCAAAATATGAAATCCTCAAAAAGCAAAAAACCAAGTAAAGCTAAAAGCATATTACATACTCCTTTTATATAAAACCAGGCACACTAGAAATGAAGGTGAAGCAGCCGAGTTAGCAGACCGAGAGAGAGTGCCTACACTTGAGCCAGGGCCGCCGTCAACTGCAGCTCTTCTCCCCGCTAACCTCTGACCGTTTCCGGGCAGATTTACTCCCTTTTCTGTAATCACCTTATTAAGCCTCTGCTGTGTGCAGCCTCGTCAGCGCCAGTGTGTGTGGAAGTGAGCTGTTTACCCATCTGGAGTAAGAGCAGCAATTAGTCAGAGACCGGGTCCAAAAGCTGCCCTACTAAAACAAATGTGCCCGACGGCTAGACCTAAAGCCCACGGCACCTGCCAGAGTGCAAGCCAAGGCCTTGGGCTCCACGCCACCTCATACAGCTGTTCACTAAAGCTCCCCGTGCACACTCACAAGCTGCCTACCCAACCGTGCACGGAACTCTTCTTCTATGGATGGGGAAGCTGAGGCAACACTACTCAATTATTAAAGATAGCTAAACAGCTCACAGAGCCTCTAATGTACACCGAGGTGAATTCTTAGCCATTCCCAGCACACAGAAGTAAAGGCAGAGGAAGTCTTACGCGGGAGCTCCAGGCCTGGGTGCACGGTGGCGTTCTTGACCATGGGGGGCGAGTGCCGACCGTCATCCATGTCGAGCTCTGTACACTGAGCCTCTCCGTGGATCACAGCCAGCCCCAGGCGGAGTCTCTCAGCATAGGACTGAGCCCTGAGAAGAAGACAATGGTTGGCCTCGGTGACACTGATGGGAAGGACGCCCAGCCCAGGGCTCCACTCTAGTGACCACAAGACAAAACCGCATTCAGTCCTTGAGGGGGCACAAAGACCTATTTCTATAAACCAGGCCAGAAGATAAACGCCTCAAGGGATAGTGCTGGAGTCCAGATAATTTGGGGTTTCTCTCCCCAGTATTCCTTAAAGCTATTTCCAGAACTTTGTTCAAAACAATGTTTCAAAATCAACGGCAGACTGGGGATGTGGCTCAGTCAGTGGAGCGCTCATCTGGCGTGCCTGGGGTTGTGGGTTTGATTCCCAGCACTACACAGGCAGGGTCTAGTGGCTCTCTTAATCGCAACATTGCAGAGGTAGAGGCAGAAGGATCAACATTTCCAGGTCATCCTGAGCTATGAAGGGAGCCTGAAAATAGCCTGGGCCACACAAAGGGTGCACTGCCTGCAAAAAACTAAACAAGTTCACGGCCTAAGTGTTCATGGTCACTGTTTCCCTGAAAACTAGAGAAACAGAGAGAGAGAGCGGAGCTGACAGAGAGAGAGAGCGGAGCTGACAGAGAGAGAGAG